TTTATGTCGGATTAAAAAAGGATAAAGTCCTAGTTTTGTGGACTGCTTTGAAATTTTAATACTGTTTACTGCCTTACATGCTTTCCTATATAATTTTTCGAATTTGTTTACAACTCAACAGTTACTGTACATACACATTACCTGTAACGAGGTATCTACTTACATTATAGGACGTTTGTTTCTCAGCTGTATACAAATATGCGACCGATTAATGTCTTGCTCGATGTCGAGAAGCTATTCGAAGGGATAATATACGAACAAATCATAGAATTCATTGAAGAAACCAAAATTTTGATAAAAAATCAAGCTGGATTTAGAAAAAAATGTTCCACAGAAAAGGCAATCCAAATGGTGGTGGAGGACTGGAGAAGAAGTATAGATGAGAAAGAATATATTGTAACAATATTTTTAGACTTCAAAAGGGCATTTGAGAGTATAGATAGGGAATAATTGATAATGAAATTGTGTCACTATGGCTTTAAAAAATCAGGATTACACATTTTACAAAATTATTTAGTAAATACAAGTCAAAAAGGTAAAGTTGGAAATATTATGTCAAGTGTTCAAAATATATCAGCAGGAGTGCCACAGGTGAGTAAATTAGTGCCGTTGCTATTTATTACTTATATAAATGATATCTCTGACATTTTATAACACTGCAAAATTCAAATATTTGCGGACGATACACTTATATATATAGCATATAAGCATTTGGACACTGCTTTAGAACTGTTAAATAGTGATATTGAAAAAATTATGATCTGTTAAATGTCAATAAACTTAAAGTAAACACTAATAAAACAAAATGTATGTCAATACGAAAACATTTAGGTGACAATACAGGGTCCGCAAAGTTGGGGTTTTCCTTTTCAGAAACAACTACCCTTGAAATAACAAAGCTAATGTGTAGTGAAACGAGGGCGACTAAGTAAAAAAAAAATAAAGGAAAAAGTACTCACTCTCCAGTTGACGACAAGGGCTAAGTACGTCTCTGCCCGAAATCATACCGCTCCAACAGAAAATGAAATCAGCTGATGCGCTACCGAGCAGACGCAGGCAAATAAGGAAGGCAAAATGTTGCGTAAAAAGTCTAGGTATTGCATCCCGTCCAATCGATTTGGGAGAATAAATGGTTCAATGAGCATACCGTTCACCATGCCAGCCCAAACATTCACCGAAAATGTTTGTTGAAAATGTGCCCGACGGACAGCGTGCGGATTTTCTACTGACCAAACATGAGTGTTGCGAAAGTTATTCACCCCATTACGCGTGAACGTAGATTCGTCTGTCACCAATATGCACTTCAAAAAGTCCGGATTATTGTCATGTTGATGCAACAAACCACTCACAAAACCGCACTCTTGCTGGAAAATCGTCAGGTTGTACACGTTGGACGTGAAACGGATACAGTCCCTCTTCACGCAGCGTTTGCCACACTTTAGTTTTTGATACTTGCACTTCTCTAGCCACGTCTCTAGTGCTTGTTGAGGGATTCTCGTCTACGCGATTACCTCTACACGCGTGACCGTAACCGTCGGTTGAAGGTTGCATACTGACCTGACACACTGACAACGACCCAGTTCTGTCGTCGGGTTGAGCTAGTGTCCTAGTACCACTCGGGGATGTCGCGGCTACAGGACGGTATTCAGATATTTTTGATGTTGCAGAGCCCTTTATCTCGGTTCCCTTAAGACATTGGTGTATATGGTACTAAGAAAAATTGCTTATGTTTTCAAGATCTACACGTCGTGTAAAGGAAAACCCCAACTTTGCGGACACCCTGTATAATTAGGCTCATGATTAATGATGAAAAAATTGAAGTAGTCGAGCCATTTAAATATCTTGGTATATATGTGGATAGTAAGCTACTGTTTCACGAACATTATGAATAAATACATTATTTCAAAAATATCGAAAAAGATAAATTACTTCATAGGGTTTCCCATAATCTTAGTATGTATTCAAAAAAATTGTGTATAACACTATAATTCTTCCCTATTTCTTATATTGTTCAACCATCTTGTTTACAGCAAATGAAAACATATTTTCAAAATTACAAATTCTACAAAATAAATCTATCAGAATCATTTTAAATAAAAACAAATACTTAAGTGTGCTAGGATTAAGTCTATGTTAGAACTGCAGTGGTTGGATGTGAAAAATTACATATATTATTTAGTTCTCGTTTTCGTATTCAAATTAAAAAATCATTTATTACCACCACATTCAGAGAGCTTCACAAAATTAAATAGTCATTATCATAACTATGAAACTAGAGGCAGTATATATTTTCATCTGCAAAATTGTAATACTAACATAACTAGTAAATCTATATCTCAAAATGGAGTATTTGAATTTAATAAATAGAATAACGATATTAAACAGAGTTCGAATTTAAATATGTTTAAGGTGAAATTAAAAAATCACTTTATGAATAATCAAAATACATAGTGACGTAATTTTAATTTTAATAGACAAGAATGTAAAATTACAGAAAATGGATTGAAGAAATATATGTAACCGAATCGTTAAACAAAATTAACATTGTAGCATTAATGCTAAGTAAATCTTCAGCAGCAACAACAACTATATCCCACTTCAATTAGAAGGTTTTGCTAAGTTTATACCTTTATCCTCTGAAACCTAAGTAATAAATCCTTTGTTCTACGACTATACTCCATGAAGCTTTTACTAGGATATTGCGATATAGTAAACAAACATCAAACTGTTATTACAAACCTCTGACATGACTCGTACTAGGGTTCAGTAGGGTACTACAAATGGCTCACTTTGACGGCTATGCAACCATGTAAAAATGTTAGTCACTTGTTCTACGTGTTTCAAAATTCGCACCAGTCATAAAAATATTCAGGGTGTCCTGAAACTTAAGACTTTCATTTTCAGAAACATCTACTTTTGTAATAACAAAGCTAATGTGAAACAACAGCCGAAAAGTAAGAAACATAAATGAATAAGCATTCACCCTTCATCGGAACTACCACGAAGGCCTAAGGCCTAAACACCCATTGGTACCGTGGGCTATAGGGGGATACAGGGGAAAGGGGGGACGCCACACGGACTCTGGCGAGGGAACACGTGTGCATGCAACATGCACACATTCTGGCTCCGCCTACGAGATCCGCCGGGTGGTACCTACGCGTTCGACAGTCAGAGACCGTCTACCACATACGACTCTATGTAAGTGGTATGCGGTACATTCACTATCACATGTATGAGCTCGACATAGGCGGGCATCGGTGTAGGCTTTTAAAATGGATTGCCTTCTCTGAATAAATGCAGCAGATTGCTAAATTCGCACTTGCAGTTCGTCGACCGTGTTCACCTCAGTTTTATACAATGAACAATTCATTTCGCCCCAGCAAAAAAAAATCACGAAGGATCCCTAAAAACGATCTGCATACACTCGCGAAGCTTCGGTAGCATTTTGAACACAGTCGCCTTAAAATAATATGATCAACTCTGATATTGCTGTCAAAGTGCCATTTTTTTTAAATCGACGTGAAAAGATTTTGCGCCTGGATTAGGTTTTCTTTACGTTTGATTGACTTTGCGGAGTCCAACATCTTGGTAATATTAAGACTCTGATGTATTCGTTACTAGAAAAAACTGCTTACCTGTCCAAGATTTATCCACCGGATAAAGGAAAGTCATAACTTTGGGGATACCCTGTATAGATTCGATAATTATTGAATTACAAAATTATACATAAACGTTGTCAGTGACCAATAATCACACTTGAAGGATCAAACAACTTTAACTTGGGACGGCGACGTCATATATGTCTCATAATTTCTCGAATCTTTTTTCAAGTTCTCATGCCAGTTAGACATCTCTACACAAATTTGTTTAAACATATTTTGGCTCACGAATTCAATTTTTCACACAGCAGACACGCGTTTTGTTACGCAAGTGTTTTTAGGGATGGATTAAAGCTGTGTGCATATCTATAAAAATATCATTCAAATACTGATTTGCATAATGTAACAGCACACTTTCCTTAACGGCTCCCTAAATCAAAAACTTTTCTTTCATATAATATTATTTTTCGCCCTGAAGCGATCGATTTCCCAGCTATAGCGCTGACTCTCTCCCACCCTCCAATCCCCTATTTTTGTGTAACCTCCCTCCCTGCTGCCGCCTGCGACCCCATCCCTCACCGTCCCGCATATTCCGGGCACCCGGAGAGCGCCTTAAGGCCCACATAAATTCCGGACGCAATTAAGTTAAGCCTCCGGGGCGCCAGTGCGCGATTTCAAAGGTGGCGGGGCTCAAGATTACCAAGGGACATACTGCAACGTGCAAAAAGAAAATATATAAAAAGTAAAACAAATCGATTCAAAACTTGCCGCTTCCATTGCAACGAATTTGAATCGTAAGACCTAAACTATACTTCGAGGTGACGGTGACAAACACCGAAAAGTACCCAAAGGTTTTAGCTACTCCCAAGTAAATCCTCCAGGAAGGTATGCCAACAAAAATTACCCGAAAGCAAAAGTACAAAAATCTCGACAAAATGGGACAATCACCCAATATGGGAAGGCTGTTGAAGTGTTATTTCACGATTTTATTCTTAATTCTGTGAAACAAGCCATTGCTAAACAACAATTTCAGCTCTTATAGCTTTACTAAATTACGCCGCGACAACGTACAAACAACTGCTCTTAATCGCACTAGTATTGATCAGTGCACGATAGTAAGACAATATGAGAGTTTAAATACGACTTTACTATGATATAATATGCTTTGATACTATTAGTCCCATCTGGCAACACTGTACGCCAACGCCACCACCATGGAGAGTCAACTCATATGGGAGAATGGAAAGGAGTGCGGTGCTGACGAATCACAACCTGACAACACTGTTGGCATCCAGAAAACACGGCTTTGACAAGAATGACTGTTTACTGCTGTCATTTTTAGTTTACCTCTCTTTTAATTGTTTCTGGATTTGGATGGTTGGATGCGTCGAAGGTAGGTTTTTCGTCACAGGCAGCAGCGGTGGCCGCAGTAGTAGACTCTTCGGTCTCCTGATCAGTCGCCGTGCGCTGTGCGGGTTCGAGTCCCGTCCCAGGAGAAATTTTTCTCTTGGCTATGGATGTTGTGATTGTCCGTAGGTGGTAGATGGTCTCTGACTGTCGAACGCGGAGGTACCACCCGGCGGTTCTCGTAAGCGGGGCCAGAATGTGTGCATATTGCATGCACACGTGTTCCCTCGCCAGAGTCCGTGTGGCGTTCCCCCTTTCCCCTGTATCCCCCTATAGCCCCACGGTACCCAATGGGTGTTTAGGCCTTAGGCCTTCGTGGTAGTTGGAATATAAAAAAAAATCTACAAATTATATTAAAGGCGTTCTTATTTAAGCTACATTCTTTATTGAGTTGATGAACTTCGGAATCTGGAGTATACACCTAACATTGCATATAAGAACAACTCATTTTCTTCTGGGTGATTGTATTCAACAAAGGAGCACCATCTATACTGGAAGGATGTATTTCTTAGAATATTACGACCATTGACGATTTGTACTTGATTCACACAAATGTGGTGTGCTATCAAACATTCAAGAAGCAGAGTTGAAGGCACTTCATTCCACTGCCAACCCATGTTAATGACACACGTCGTTATAAAATCTTCCATATATCATTAGTAAATGCTCAAGATATAATTATAGAAGAGTCTCAGATTTATGCAAAGAGCCGGCAACGTCACATGCGGGGTTCGTGCACAATCTGGCAAGCATCTGGCATCCAGAAAAAATAGCGATTGACACTGACATAAATCAACCGTGTTGTCCTATGGATAGCACGTGATTAAACCTTCACTCTATATGTTTTGTGGTCACTACCATCTCGAAGTTTAATGGATGCCTAAGACGTTCCTAATAATTTTTTTATACCGAAGCAGAAGCCGAAAAACCAGGGCACCGCGGCCGATAAAACGAGATTAGCGACGCCTTGTTAATCCGATTTTTGAATTGAATTAGGTTTGAAGAACTGGAAAACAGCTTCCCAGGCAGATTGTTATACAATTTCGACACCGTAGGTACAAAAAACGGGCATACAGTTCAAATCTGTATGTACGAAGATCGAGATCGACATGTGGTAGGCGATCTTGCTGTCTTCTACCGCTATGTACCTCAGAGCTCTCCTTCATGATACTGCCGCACGTTAAACCTGCCAGACGAACCCGCCACGATTCTGCCTCTGATCCTGATTTTGCAGAAAGTTCATTTGTTCCTAAGTAAAGTAAAGTGTCGTCAAGCTCGATATAACAGTCCAGTATTAAAAAAAGGGAATCTGAAAAGCTCCGAGTATTTCCAAGTATATCATAGCAAGTATCTCCTGTCAAATAAACATGTTGGAGTTATTCTCTCCCCATTATCTCACTTCAACATCGGCCCACCCTTACTGGAAAGCGGTTTAAAAAATGACGATGACATCAGAGACACAAACAATATTACAATTTGTGCACATTGATATTTGAACAACACCAATAAGACAATCAAAACTTCAGGAACTTTAATTTCTAGATTTGGTGTTTCGAGAAACTCTGCACCTCGCACGAACGCCACTGTCCGAGATAGAGCACCGACTTCATTCCATGGCGTATATATAACGGAGGATAATCTGCGCGAATACGGGGCGTTATCAAATTCGGATGGTTCATTATCGCTATTTAACCGATGGCGTTTTATACCGCGTTGGATTAGGAAATACCCGTTTAGATTTATACAAAGATAGACACCGAATGCCGGTCCAGCCTGTCATTTGCGTTACGGTAATTGGTCGAAAGTTTTGAATGGAGGGTTGATTGCGCTATTCTGGTGATCGCCTTTCAATCAGATGGTAGACATAGTACGGAAGGAAGATTTCAATAGAGATTGCCAGTACACAGGAAAAATTGAAACGTCCAAAACACCTATTCGAGCCGAGGGATTAAACGTTTTTGTGTTTGCCAATTTCTTATACTGAAACCCCAGGTAAAAATTATTAGCTGAACCAGGTCTCATAAAGAAGCTGATATTTTTTAACTGGATCAGCTTTGTACAATCCGAGTCACTTAAACAGAACCAATACACTCTTTTATTATTCGAGGTATGGTTCTAACCATTAGGATCTTGGAAACGGTAAGATGCACGAAGTCTGTTAAATGCCGGAAATTAGGTAACTAAGAAAATGAAACTTTTTTTGAAAATTTCGCGAGTATTGCTAGAGATAGGTGAAAGCAACAAAATTTTCCCAAAATCGCTTTTATTTTTTTCTGACTTGACTTTGAGATTGGATTTCAAAATAGAAAGTACATCAACATTGCCACTTTTTCTCCTTTACAAGATAGCATAACTAGAACTTAAAAATAACGTTTCAGCTTTTCTGATTTATCATCAACTTTATTTTTCCTTATAGGTGCCATTATAGATTTCTGCAAAAATGAATATAGTTTTTAATTCTTCTTCATAAATGTCATAAAATGACTTTGTCAAACCTAAATGATCTCAAAATAACTCAGACTTGGCTTTAAAAATGACAGCTTATTCACATATTTATCCGATTAAATCACCGATGCTCCAGTTCCTTTATGGATCAGATAATAACCTTGTTTGGGAGAAACTGGAAGTATAATATTCGTATAATACCTATAACAAGCAGTGAGAAATTTTAATAGGATCCTGAAAGTTACGACAAGCGATTTGAAGGAGGTACCAAATTTGCTGCAAATAAAAATGTCGGGGAATCGCGTGACAACGCCAACTGTCGAATTCTACTTTAACAGCAGTTAGGCTATGTTATTTGGATGAACAATAATTCACCGCGACCTACACTGACTACTTGCGGCGTAATGGCATAGTGCATCTGCGAGGCGCATGGTGGCCGGTACCTTCATATTGTGATCTGATATCTCTAAGCTGACATGTCGCTAAAAACTATTCAATACTGAGATATGGCCTTTATGATATCCGAGTGTCAATACTTGAACGTCTCGAAACTATAGTTTATTCACTGAATCAAAGCAGTTACGTCACAACGTCAAATAATGACAGTGACGCACATGATTGCCACACTAATTAAAACTACTAGATCCTAGGACGTTTGACAAAATCTAGTTCGATGCCTTACCGCAACCAACATTACGGAGAGTATGTTTTGTAAACGCTTGAGCTAGTATAAATTTTGTTTACTAGCTAATACCTCTCTTCCGGACTAAAAAGACAATAAAGGAGCTCCACGATCTCGTTCGGTCTCAAAATATGTCGTCTAAGAAATGACTAATTCTTTTGCTTGTCGACCAATAGGTTTCGGCATTTTAGCAAAATGCTTAAAAAGACATCTCAAAGTTTTGAAAATCGGTTTTTATAAAATAGCAATGGAAATATTGAGGCAAAAAAACGAATATAAACCGCAAATAAAAAACACCCGCTGTCGTAAATACCTGACAAGCTTTGCGGCAATATCACAAGACACAAAACTGTTACCAAAATATGTGTACCCGGGAAATCAAAACTATACGTACCAATTTAGGATCGATTTTGCATTAAGGTTAGTATTCAAATTTGATAAATATGACAGAACTGCTTTGTTTCAGTGAATAAACTATGTGTAAATATTTATGAACATACTACTTTTATATAGGGTGTAAACGTTATGATAGTCATTATTTAAATGGATGATAGAGCGGCTTAAAGAAGGCAAAAAGTTACATACGAGTATAAATCGGGGGTCAAAACGGCATTTTTTTTGAGAGCGACTTTAAAGTGAAATAAAATCTGGCACAATTAAAAAAACGGACTTACCACTAACTGTCTCAGCGCTTCACCTGGTGTGTGAAAGTTTATTGAACGTATTAAAAAAATCAACTTATAAATAGGGAACACAATTTTGATACATACATTGTTTTTCTTTTTAAAACTCACATTGCACTTTTTTTGTATTTAAATAAGGTGTTCAACATGTCGTCCTCCACTTTCCAGACAAGCTTCATCACGACAAACCCAGTTTCTTCTTACTCTAGGTCCTCAAATTTGTCCATTTAGTATTTCAGCCGCATTAAAATTTTTTTCGCGAAGTTGTGCTTCAGTTGTTATTGGACCAGCCTCATAAACCATCCCTTTAAGTTCTCCCCAATACCAGAAATCCACCGGATTGAGGTTAGGAGATCTTGCTGGCCATTTTCGAGGATCAGGAGCATTTCGACCGATCCAGCGATTTGGATAATGTTCATTCAAATACTGAACGACGGCGACGCCTCTAAAAATGTGTGGTCGTGCCCCGTCATGAAGAAACCACAAATTCTATCGCCGTTGTAATAGCATGTTGTCTAAGGTCTCTTCCAAAAGTTCTGGTAGGTTATTAGCTAGAAAGCTAAGGAATCCTTCTCGTGTCAACTTTGGGTGTAACACGAAAGGGTCAATTACCTAATCGTCAAGAATACCCGCTCAAATATTTATTTTAAGACGTTGTTGGAAATGACGTTCACTAATGGTATGAGGATTATGGAAATTTAATATACCGTCTCGCGTAAAAGTACATTCGTCCGCCGCTAGATTGTTTTTAAAATAATCCGGATTTTCAATGTTTTTGTGCAAAGACCACTGACAGAATGTTAGTCTGCGAGGATAGTCTTCTGCTAACAAGGCCTGCACTCGTTGTACATGGTAGGGATAAAGCAAACTTTCCCGTATGAGTCTATGGACTATGGTATGCGATAGTCCTACGCGGAGGCCTAATTCCCGAGTGCTGATATCTGCATTAATTTCCACGATATTCGAAATTTGTTCCTCCTGCTCTACAGTAACCTGTCTTTCACGAGTGCGAATATTAGTGGGCTGAACACTTCCTGTATCTAGAAGTCTTTGGTACACTTGCACAAATGTCCTTCTGTCTGGGTGTACCCGTTGGCAAAATCTGTCGCGATGAATTTGAGCTACAAGATTTGAATTCTGACGAGCTTCAGCGTAAACTAACAACATGTCGACGAACTCTTGATTCGAGAACATTGTGCGACAACGACGACGTACGTGAACAAAAACAAAACAAACGCCCAATGCTATGCAAAACGATAACTAACCACTGTTGCCGTTTGCGATCGATTGCCAATTCGATAAGAGTGATGAAAAACCGACGCGCTGTTGTCATGTGTGTTTTAAATATTTAATTTAATGAAACTTACTTACTTACTGACTACAAATTTTGGCTTAACTTAGAAACACTTAATGCCATTTATTTGT